CCCCTTCCTGAACCACTCTTTATCGAGGTTTTAAAAGAGCCGAGACGCTCAGAGACTCGTGCTGCGGGCAGATTACACGAGTGCGGCCGAGCCACGCCGACGAGCTTCCTTGACAAAATGTTGCGGCGTCCGGTGGAAGGAGGTTCATGTCCCCGGTTGTGCTAGCGGGCGCGGGCACGCAGGTCGTGACCTCATTCGAGACGCTAGATAGGTAGTCGATTTGTATGACAAAGCATCTTATTGTATACGTAGGCAAGCAAGGGGTGCGACTCGACCTCCGCCACAAACAAGTCCTGGGAACGCCCCGGAGCGCCCCTCCTGCGGCTCACTTTGAGGAACTACCACATCAAACCTGTCACGGGACCATAAATGGGTTTCCATAGAATTAAAATGAGAGTAAAAGAAGCACAAGTGCAGGAGAGAGAGAAAAGTGAAAGAAAGAGTGCGAGGTGCGAAGAGACGGTGCCCAAATTTTAGGGAAAAGAATTACAATCGTGGGTGCAGGCGACGATTAAATCGCTATCTTTATGGCAAGGTGCTCGATGTTGGCTTGAAGAAGAGAGGTGAGCGGTAAGGAAGAGACAAATACTGGTGCAGGCAGAGGCAGACAGACGAATACCAACAGTGCAAAAACTTCGCTGTAAGGCGAACCTCCGTTTCTGATTTGGATAAACGCTAATATTTAAAAAAATGCAAGGTATTTTAGCGGCTAGTTTTTTATCCCTCGTAGAAAACTATAAGACTGCCATTTAAGAGCGCAAACAATTTCCGCGTCTTCCAATAATAAATGGGAGGTCCGACCGACAGCGAATCGCCCCGACGTGCTAGAGAGACTGGCGTGCTTGCTGAGGACACATCTGCTGTCGCTCACATTGCGATAGCGCGGGTAGCAGGCGAGGCGGTAGCAGGCGGGCCGGCTCGCCATTGTTACCAACCGTTTCGCGACGAAGGGCCGGCGGGGCTCAAGGCAGCGGCCGAGCCGCCCAGCACCAGCTCCTCCAGCTCGTCCTCCTCGGCGGTCGCCACCGGCGCCCACCCGAGTTGGCCATCCTGCTGGCGGGGCTTGCTGGCGGACATTGTCTTGGAGCACGGCTCACGGGGTGCGAGAGGCAGAGGCGGCGACTGGCTGACGCGGCAGGAGGCCAGCTCGGCCGGTCACCATGGAGACCGTGGACACGGACTGGACGGCGGCGGCGGCGTGCGAGCGGCGTCCTGGAGGGCTGCCAGATCAGCTGCCACGCGGGACAGGCCGGCACGGGCTGTACCGGCGACAGCACCGGCGAGATACCGGGCCGACGCCTCGAGTACCCAGTGGTCCCCGCTGGTCCCCGCCGCTCGGCCCCCCGCTGGTACCAGGTCCCCCGACAGGACCCACAGCGTATCGCGTATGACGTGTCGGTTCAAGGGCGGATCCAGAGGCGGGGGGCGGTGCTCGGCGAGCTGGCGGAGGACACGGCGTGCTCGGTCAGCTGCGGGAGGAAGAGCAAGCACGTGAGGACGAACGGACCCGCACCCGCAGGCGCGCGCACAATACCGCACACACGCGCGCGCGCGAGGGGTGGCCTGTGCGCCGGGCGCCTGGCGAGCCTCGCGAGGAAACGGAGCGGAAGAGGAGCGCTGCTGGGGGCAGAGCGGGTCAAGGCGACCCCGGCACCTCTGCAGCAGGCAGGGCGGGCAGGGCTCTCGGAGGACCCGTAACACGGCCGGCGCAGGGCAGGCTCCTGAAACTTTCACGAACGGCAATCCACTCGGCCATCGGCCGCGCCGCACTATCTCAGCCCAGCTGCCGCGGCTGCCCGCTCCTGCGGCACCGCTGCGAGAACACCTTGACCGAGGAGCAGCATTGTCCGCCTGAGAATCAAAACTCTTCTTCAAACGATCATTCTGCGTTGGAGAGTTTCCCATCCAGGCCTGAAAGGGGAAACTTTCGGCACGTTGCAAAAATAAATCGAATCCCGTCGCGTCTCGCGCGGTCGACCGCGCGATCAGCCGAGCGCGTCAGCCAGCAAGTCATGATCGCGAGCGAGTGCCGGCGGGCGCGCGGGGCCGGCGGGCACGGCCAATGTGTCGCGCGCTCCTATCAGAGAGCAGGCGGCGGCAGCGGCGGCACGAGCGTGCAGAGGCACGCCGCCGCCGTGTCAAGGACGGGCCGGGCGCAGAGCCGCGGACCTGGCGCACCAGAAGGATGTGACGTCGTCGTTGCCGCACACGTGGAGACGCA